GGGGGCAGAGGCTGCGCCCAGCGGGGGGCTGGGCAGCCCGTCCCCAGGGTCGGCTGAGCCCCGGCCGGTCCCCTCCCTCTCTCCCCACCGAGCGCAGGGGGAGAGTGTCCGTGCAGCTGGGCCCCGCAGGGTCCTCCCCGGGCAGCCTCTGGGGCGGTCGGTACCGCTAGGGCGACCAGAGCAAGTGTGAAAAATCAGGCCAAGCTGGGCGAGGGGATGAATGGGGGGAATAGGCCCCTCTAGATACCCAACTATAAGGACCGGCCGGTCCCCTCCCTCTCTCCCCACCGAGCGCAGGGGGAGAGTGTCCGTGCAGCTGGGCCCCGCAGGGTCCTCCCCGGGCAGCCTCTGGGGCGGTCGGTACCGCTAGGGCGACCAGAGCAAGTGTGAAAAATCAGGCCAAGCTGGGCGAGGGGATGAATGGGGGGAATAGGCCCCTCTAGATACCCAACTATAAGGACAGCGGGTCGCCCAGCCTGCAAGCCAGGCAGCCACTGGCCCGCAGAACAACATATGTTAAAAAGCCCCGTGAAACAGTAGTGCACATGCACACGTACTAGTGCGCGTGCATATCACACACTGGTGCGTTAACACCTCCAGTGTAATTACTGCATCTCCCTGTGCCCCAGCCCATGCTGGCCTGCATGTGGATACAATTGTTTTCTTACACCAGTGCTGACAGAGGAAAGGGAATAAGCTAGAAGGCAGGGGTTCAAGCTTCCGACAGCCCTGCAGTGACAGGCAGCTGGCCCTGGGTAGCTCCTATCCTAGTGGCTCCATCCCCTGGGCTCTGGCTGTGGGGAAGCAGGACCCAGCTGGGAGGCTCTGGGATCTGGCCCCAGCAGTGCAGCAGCGAGAGCCAGACCTGGGATCACCAGCCCCCACTGTTGGCCCTTGGCCTCCTAGATCTGGGCTCTGGCTGTGTGGCAGTGGGCTTCATTCCTAGGCACTGACTTCAGGCTGCAGGGCTCAGAGATCTTGGCGGGGGGCTTCGGGCTCTGGTCCTGGTCTCACCACCCCCGATCCCTGCCCTCCCACTCCAGCCTTTGGCTTTTTAGCTGCAGGCTCTCTCCCCTGAGCTCCTGCTATGGGACCTTTGGATCCGACCATGGGGCTTTGGGCTCCATTCCCAGGCTCATAACTCATTACCCGAGTCCTGGCTGCCTCCTCCATCCCAAAACTCTGGCTGCATGGAAGTGGGCTGCATCCCCAGGCTCTGGCCGTGGGATCCCAGGGTTTGGGCCCTCACCCTCCGCTTATCTCCCCTCCCCATCACCTTGGCCTCTGCTATGGCCTCTAGCTCCGGGATTCAGCCGTGTGGCTGCTAGGGGTGCTGTGCTAATCTCTGACTAACAATCTTAGATTGATCTGACGAAGTGGGCTGTGCCCGTGAAAGCTCATGATCCCATCTCCATGTTTTTTTAATCTCTAAGGGTACAGCTGCACTTGCTCCCTAGTTTGAGCTAGGGATGCAAATGTAATTGCTAATGAAGTGCAGATTTAAATATCCCGTGTTTCATTAGCATGATCTCACTGGCACATTACTCCGCTCAACAGCTGATTCGAACAGGAAGTGCGCACTGGAACGTGCTGGTGAGAGCATGCTAATGAAGCGTGGGATATTTAAATCCTTGCTTCATTAGCAATTTCGGTCGCCTAAATTTGCATCCCTAGTTCGAACTAGGGAGCAAGTGTAGACATACCCTAAGGTGCTGTTAGACTTTTCACTGTTTTTTTAAGTGTTTCCAGTTACAGACTAACTCGGCTCCCCCTCTGGATCTTAGATTCAGCAATTCCAGTTGAGCTTGACATTTCAACCATCTTGAGTCACTAACTCAGACACGTGACAGCTTTAAGCTCAAAGCTATTGCTGAAGAAACAATTTCTTTTTGTTGTGTTGACAAGCTCTGTTGTTTGCTAGGTGTTTTCCGGGGTGTAGAAGTATTTTACTCCGTGGGAACCTTGCTGTTCTCCCAACTCTGCAAACCACCAACAAGAAAGTCCATCCGCTCAGGGCCTTGGCACCAATAAGAGGGGCTGCCGGAGTGCATGGCTGGAGAAAGAAAACTGTAAGTGCTCATTTCCATTTAGTCGCCATTCTGCATGGTGATAGTTCCATCCAAACTTGGGTTTCACACTGCTGTGCCTAGCAGAATGGGGCTGTGGTCCGCGAGGGGGGACTGTGGTAATAAATATGACATTACAGGAAGGGATGTAAAATCCTGTTTAACGGATTAAACGTTAAATGTAACCAGTTAACGGATTAAATGAGGCAGGTAGTGTGATGTAGTGGGAGGTGCTGTCTGCTCTGTCACCCCTGTGATGTGTGATTCCCACTGACTCGCCCACATGTGTATTGGCCCCAACACCTAATCCCAGCCTGAGCAGATAACACTGCTCTTCCCAGGGGGAGAGACAAAGGAAGGGGAGCGGAGATGGCCAGCTGGCTGGGGGGCAGAGCCTGGGAGCAAGGCAATCTTTTTGAGAGGGGAAACCATGAAGAGAAGAGACAAGGCAGAGTGCTGGGAGTTGAGGGGCCTGTGCACTGCTGCCCCAAGGTGTCTAGGGCTGCCTGCCCCTGACTCCTTATGTCCACATCATGTCTATGCTGTGCTGTATCCTGGAAAACCCCCTCTATTCTACTGCCTGGTGGAGTCTCACCTTGCTGGAAACGGGCTGCAGGGTCGGGGGATACACGACGTGCCGCCGTAAGTGGTTATACTTGTGCCATTTGGAAATTGCTACGCCCTTAGCCCAGATGTGAAAGTACTTAAAGCAGATGTTGAGGGCCAAAATCTTTTAGCCCTGAATGGGACACGTACACCTGGAGCCATGTAGCTGGTGATAAGTAACCTATGTCGACTGGCTTTCCTGTGTAACAGACATGGAACCAGATGGCTTTCTGGGTCTATTGATGCTCCTCCAGAATTCAGTATCCTCCCGGGGCAAGTCTGTGACTGACACGGAGGCCAAGGTAACATGAAGTTAACTGGAGCCCCTTCTTGGAAAGTTAAATCAAACTAGAGCCACCCTCTTGCTGCATAAAAAAGCCTCCACCTGAGCTTACTTGATTTCAGGAGTGGCCCGAGGCCGGCTGTGGCAGCTGGCGCCCCAGGCAGAAGGCACGATCGGCGCCCCCACCTGCACAGCCATCAATGGCCGTGACATCATCATCGCGTGCTCAGGCGGGCGGCACCCTAGGCGACTGCCTAGTCAGCCAAGGCTCATGGGCTGCCCCTGCTTGATTTATATACATGGATTTTCTAAAACTACACCAAACTGTAAGGTCTAAGGTTTTAAGCTGCAACTTATTGTGATCTTTGTCAAACTTTGTAATCTGTGTAACCAGGGCTGGCCCAAGCCATTTGTGCGCCTGGAGTGCGACGCATGCATGGCCCCAGCTCAGCCCTGCCTCCTAGGTACCCGGCGCAGGTGCGGCCCCACCCCCTACTATGGGGCACCCCAGGCAGTAGCCCGGTCAGCCCGTAGTTTGGGCCAGCTCTGTGTGTAACTCTCAGAAACTTACTGTAAGCTGCATCTATGTAACTCTCAGCCACCTTGCTTGTAACTTTCCCTAAGCTGCATTCTCCCCATGGTGAATGGAGAGAGAGTGTGAGAGTGTGTTTGAAGAAGACGGGGAACGATGAGCACATTTCAGTGAGTTATCACAGTCTGGGCATGCTCCCTGCTGGATAAAGGGAAGTCTGGGCATGCTCCCTGATGACGAGGTGAATGAGTCACAGGAGCCATTATTCAGACACTATATAAAGAGAAGGAGCACATGTGAGACTCTTTCTTTTTCCTTCCCCTGCTCCTGAGAAGCTCCTCTCCAGTGTGTCTCCTCCTGACCAGCTTCCCCAGCAGACAGACCCTCCAGGATCCACATGCCTTGGCTCCTTCTGCAACCCATGGGTGCGTTTACGCTGGCCGCTTGAATTTGCGCAAGAACACTGACGATCTCATGTAAGATTGTCAGTGTTCTTCTGCAAATACTATGATGCTCCCGCTTGGGAAAAAGCCCTTTTGCGCAAAAAAGCCCCGATGGCGAAAATGGCGGTCGGGGCTTTCTTGTGCAAAACCGCATCTAGACTGGCCACGGATGCTTTTGCGCAAATCTAGATGCTCTTTTGCACAAATGCTTTTAACGGAAAAACTTTTCCGTTAAAAGCATTTGTGCAAAATCATGCCAGTCTAGACATAGCTCATATGTCTGTGAAAGTGTGAGAGTGCCAGAGGGCAGGAATGAATGGGCGTGAATGAATGGAGGGGTGTGTGCTTGCTTGTGTGTGTATGACAGAGAGAGAGTGTGTTCTATCTTTAGTTTAAATCTTTGGTGGCTGCTTTCTCCTCTTTAGTTTTACCTAGTGGAAATACGCCCATACTAGTGTAACCCTGGGTGGTCTCCAGTGAGAATATTTTTGGGGTAACAAATACCATTGTCCCTCATACACAGCTGACAACATGT